GCACAAACCTTGACGAGCACTGTTCATTCCAGTAACAGCGTACCACCTTTCGACTGCTGGATTGTACCGACTTACTGCCGCGGAAACCGACTTGCGGTTGTCTTTGTGGAGGACTCCACCCAGGACGTACAATTGACCTTGGAGAGTGACCGCAGCTGCAAAGGAACGTCCAACAGGCATGGAAGCACAGGTTACCCATTTTCTATCTCCTGAAACGTAGCACTGTACGAGCCGGCTAGTTTCCTGGTTGAAAATGGAATGATGACCAGTGCTGTACAGTAGACCGTTGCAAACCGCTGTTGCGTGACCAGTTTGTCCACAAAGCATATTTGGCAGTTCAAGCCATTTGTTACTCGAAGGAACAAAACAGGCGGTATGTTGAAAGTTTTGCGTTACATACTTGCTACTGGTCCCTCCACACAAGACCACAGCATCAACACTCTCCAGATTTGATCTGATGTTCGCACTTGCGTGACTTAAATCGCCCACGTTCATCACCTCCAGTACGTGAGCCATGCACGCAGCGTTCTCTTGAACCAAAGCTTCATGGACGACAGTAGATGAAAGAAACTCCTTTGGTATGTCTTGCAATCGAATGCAAGAAAAAAGATCTGCAAAATGAGAGGCTCGGTTCTCGAAGCTATGATTGACCCAACGCACAACTGCGTAAAAGATGTCCTTTTCGCTCGCAAGCACCAGATCATTTCTTGAGATGAGCTCTTTCAGGAGTTTCATTGGTAAACAAAAAAACGCTTGCGATTTTGTGGCCTCAGCAAAGTTATTGCTGATGAAACGATTGCACGAAGATTTCAAAACTTGCAAGGAATAGTCATCAGCGAGAGATAAAACTGAACAGCAACTGACAACATTCAAGTGTTCTTGTAGGAAGTCGACAACAACGTCTTGTAAACCTTCAACGACGAAATAATCTGAAGCGGTTAATATGACCTCCGCATTGTCTTCCGTTAAGTTTATTTTCCCGGTGTAAATGTAATCCAAAATGACTTCCATAACTTCAGAATACACCCAGTGTACCTGAACTTGAAATCGTGTCTCTGTATTGGAATTAAAAGCAAATAACTTTCGGAAATATTGGCTTGAAGCAGCGAGTACGGTAGAATGTGCTATATACTTGCGGCCCCCGCGGACAGTGATAATTACATCACACAGAATTCCTTGCCTCCTAAACTCGTTCATCGTGCGAAGAATCGTCCTTGAGTACGAAATATCGCTGTTTGCAAATGGCTTGTCAAGATTACTGGCCATTTGGTCTTCAAAATCCAGCAGAGCAAAGGATCTGGCAAGGAAAAGGATTGATTGCATAATGATCAAAAGGTATATTCAAATTCCATGGTTCACTTATTAAAACATAATACATGAGGTATTGAAAATTACTAATTATTCTTGTACTCACCATTCAGATTAAATGCATTGACCAAGTCGGTACATTGCACGCGACGGATTGCAAATCATGAAATGAACTTCACTTCAAGTGGTGTTTGTTTTCTGATGGATTATCAGATGACACTCAACTGACAGTTGGACAGTCTAACTCACGCAACGCTCCCCGTACATGGGTGGGAACGAGGAGCGTTGTGTGACTAAGCGGCTGCTACGTACGGAAACTACTGACAAGACATAATTTCATTCATTTTGCTTTCAAAAACCTACAATCATTGTATGTTACGGGGCTTACTTTGGTAATCCTGGGTAGCAAGCGCTTTCCGCGCGAGTTTGTCTAAACAGTATGATAGCCTCGCGGCTTGTCGGCTGACTGTCATTGGGGTGTCACTTTTTGGTTTTGTTTTTTCTTTACCCGAACCGATTGGTTCCTTGCTTGGACTAATGTTTATATACATTATATATACCCGCAAGAATGGAGAGCTTTATACTCCCAGGATGGGTTCAAATTAAAAAGTTAGGGACTTCTGTTTACCATTGAACACCTGTCTAATTTACCGAAAAAAAAACCGCAAAAACCTGCAGCTGCTGTTTCTTTAAACTGTCCGTTACCCTTGGAAATTTTCCACTGGAAAGACCCAAAAATTCGTGTTATGTTCTACCTACTTCTAACTGAATTTTCTGGAAACTTTTTGTAAATGAAAAAACTAGCCAAATTGGAGTCTAATTGTATAAGCTGGCGCGGGACGACTCATTTTGTATAGTCATTTGGGTAGTAAACCTTAGAGTGAGGTGAAGGACCCCGGTCCCCAGCCAATCAATTAGCGGCTCCTAGCAATACAAATCTACTAAAAAATACGTTTCGGATAACGAAAGCATGTTCCAGTGACGAGCCCTGACAAAACCAGTTCGTTTGCCAGAAATGTTAAGTTTATCCTCACGTCGTGACCGACACCTGACTGTTGGGCCCGGTTCAGACGCTGAACTTTTCATGAGCCGAACCTAATTCGAATTAAGGCCTACCCAAATTATTTAGACCCGCTGAATTGATTCAGACGCCGACCTTAATTGCAGGTGAACTAAGATCAAAAGGCGAAAAATGCTCATTTCGGTCAAACGGCTTACAAAATACGTTATTATAATTTATGCATTGGGTTCGGTACATGAAAATTTCGGCTTCTGAATCCGCCAAAGCCGTTCCAAAGTTCGCTCTATTAAAAGGCGAAATTCCCGGCCGGGCTAGGCGAAAAGAACGGCTGAGCCGTTCCAAATTGAAACAGGCGTTCCTAATTATTTCAGACGCCGAAATTTTCATGCACTTAATTCAATGTAATAGGTTCGGCTCATGAAAAGTTCGGGCCTTAGTAGCTAACCTGCGATCGCCCTCCCAAAATCTGTGGCGTAAGACCGTTATAATTAGTAACAGTGATCATCAAATACGTTCTTGTATGGTATCCAGTCTCGTGACTAAGTATAAGCCTTGACTTAAATTTACAAACCATTTATCCCTGGGCAATATCTTAAGGGTATAAGCTGGGAAGGGCATGGGGTGGGGATTTGACATTTTTCAAAAATTTGCCGTCAAATTCCCTGCCCACGGGTAAATCATCCCAGTCAATTGCAACCAAATTTCCCCACCCCGGGCTGCACATTGCTGTCCATCCCAAGGCTGGACCCAAGAAAGGCTCAATAAAAAAATCTCCAAATAAAACTCTGCAATCTTTAGTTATAAACGTTACTGCATCACCAAAGATACGTGTTCCTGTTAAAGCTGCAATTATACGTTTTAACCATTCAATCCGTGTTTTAATACACTGGATAGAATGCAGTAACCTTTAGGAGAAACTCCACATTTTTTAAGTTTGAATATACCGTTCTCACTAAAGGGTACAAAGAAAGTCAGTTTTATAAGATTTATACGGTGATTGTAGCGAATGTCAGCCATACGCTGATCAATTGCACTTGCAAACATCGACTTGGTTTCTCTTTACTTCCGTTTACTTTGATGCCACAGTATCTTAAAAGGTTCAATTGATTAAAACAGTAAAATCCACTCACCTTTGGATAGTTCTCGTTGGCTTCCATGATCTCCAGATCTTTCCAGACCGTACGTCGCGTGCGTTAAGCGTGGAAGTGGGGAAACATATGTTCGGTCTCAGTCTCTTTCGTCCGAGTCGGCAGTCAAATCCATCCCCACGTCGGGCCCACGTTGGGCGAAGAGAGATTCAAATATCCCCTCCCCCGGGAGAACAAGATTATATTGGTCAAATGCCTTACCCCAGGGCCAACAAAGATAATCAAATCCCCACCCCATGCCCCGCCTCCCCCTCCGCCGGCTTTACACTGATAGGTGCATAAGAAGCTCTATCGATCTTGAGAAATGGAGAAGATTCGAAACTGGACAGTCACATGACCCGTTAAGGCGGCGTGAGGAACGAGACTCAAAGCGTATGCGCAGTAAAAAGGAGGCACCTTCGCAAGTGACACTTTTAAAATTTTTATTTCGGTTTCAAGGATAGGTTACATAAAGTTACATGTTCTATAATACTTCATCTTTGAGTGTCCTTCCGCGGTAAGTCATTTGAACTCCTCACTTAAACAAAGGTCTATGGCGGTGGCGAACTTTGGCGGCGACGTCGACGCTTTCCTTATAAGATAAAAATATTTATAAAATAACTAAGATAGTACGCGCATTCTGATTGGTTAAAAACCTATGGGTTATTGTGCCGGTAAACTCATAGAAAACATAAAAGTTATTTTATAAAAGCAATAGACCGCAATTTCTATGGATTTACTGGCGTGATAACCCTCTTGCGATGTTGGGAGAACACTCGAAGAGCTTGTAAATCACTCGCCTTAAGCCCGTTTCAAACGTCGTGCTACTGCCGTGCCGAACTAAATTGATCGAATTAAATTCGACTTTAGCAGCTGTTCCATTCGACTGAATTAAATTCGACGTCTGAAACCAAGTCGTGCTAGTGTCGTGCTGCGGTCGAGCTACAGTCGAGCCAGCTTAGCACGGCAGTTACTGTAGCACGACGTTTGAAACAGGCCTTAGGCTCGTGATTGACAAGCTTTTCTTGTGTTCTCCCGACATCCTGCGTGGGTTATCACGCCGGTAAACCCATAGAAAGTGTGGTCTATTGCTTAAATATTCATACGTCAGATGCAATTGGAAGATAGTTCCACGCTTCAAAGGTTATACATTGTTTTATTGCTACAGTTCTGTTTCGTATAGCCTAAGGGTGACCACACTCATCGGGCAATTTTAGCGAGTGACCGTTAATTTTGGGTGCTGACAATATAATACTGCGTTCATGCCAAATTACCGGTGACTACCATATGTATATATCGCCAATTCAAAGTCAACGGTAATTTAGCAACGAAGTATATATTGTCAGCATGTAAAAATAACGGTCACTCCCTAAAATTGCCTGATGAGTGTAGTCAACTTTAGGCCATACGAGTTCTGGGAACTCAGAAATGGCCAATTCAAATTTCGCACTAACCCTGCGTTGTCTCAACCCAGCTTTGAGAAACCACACCCTGTCTTAAGTTTTATTTATTTCGTTCGTTCATCTTTAAATAATCTTAACACACTAACCGATGTTAAAGTCCAAAGCTACGTTGACATGAAGGTACTTGCGGTCGGTTCCAAAGTTATTCTCTACTTTGCATTCGTACGCACCCTTGTCGTACTGTGTGACTCTGGTGATGATATAGCGGAGACCGATTCGTTTGCCTTCTGGTCCACTAATGTACTCTTGTTTTACAGGGCCGCCGAAACCCTCTGAAAACGAACACACAGTCAAATTTATTTCTACAAGGTCGGTGATTTTGTTACAAATAGTTATGGTGAGTCCTGGAACTCATCTTTTGAAAAATTATGAGTTCCAGTCTAGAACCGTTAAGTCCCAGTTCAAAAAACAATGAGTTCCTGGGTCTTTTGTAACCACACAGTTAATGTGAAGACAGACACCAAAACTCTGTATTGCAGTTTACTGAAATAAAAATGTACTCCTCCTATTGTAAAGCACAACAAAGACTAAAAGAAATAAGCGTGTTTTTAACAACAGCCACAGAAATCACACAAACAGGATATTCTACAAAAAACATCTTCAAATTGATCAATCGATCTTTGCGTCCTACGGGACCCATGCCACAAATTATTTTGCGTCTTTTGGGATTTTTATGCGTCAGGGACGCAGGACGCAGAGGTAACAAAATCACTGCAAGGTTAAGACCTAAATGGACCCAAGCAAATGAGAGATAAACAGTAAGACACCCCTAGGTTCAACTGGATTGTATAGCAGTTGCCTGCGAAAACAGCCGTTCCTTCTCGCGAAACGTCCCCAGAGGCGAGGAGGGAGGAGATTTAGTTTTCGCAGGCCAGTATAGCGGTTGCACCACAGAATTTTCCACTGAGCCTCCATTCAGCCCAGAAGTCTCGCGACCTGAAACCACCGGCCTTAACAACGACTACTAGCGACGGCAAAACAGTTCCAGGATCATTTGTGGTTGAAAAAGCTAAAATAAAATACGGCTGTTATGATCACACTGACCTTGAGCTGACACCACCTTCCTGATGGTGAAAGTTGGAGGAGGCACCCCATGGCCGTAGCATTCAAACTGGGTGGCTTGATTCTCAGTGGCATTGCTTGGATTAGGTTCAAATTGAGAGACAACTGGTACTCCTAATTGTCAACAGAAATCAAAATATATTAGATTAAGTCAAGAGACTTTGAAAACAAGCAATGTTCTTCTGAAGAGCATGAATTATTCATGCTGGCTTTGCTTTATCTTCTACACGACTAGGTATGTGATTCTCCATAAATATTCTTTGGGATCACATGAGGCAGTAAGAAACTGTAATTCTTCGCTAAAAGAGCTCTACCATCCTAATCTCTCGTTGACGAAGTGTGTCAAACTGGTAACACTCACTTCTACACAATCTAGGCAGTAAGTCTAAGTGGCTGATTTTAAAATTAAATTTTCTTTCTTGACCAGATCTCGCCTTGGCTTCGTTGACAAGAGATCTAGGTACGAGATTACTGGCGTCCTCTACCCGTCGGCGCATAGTTAAGGACTTTTCCCTATCAGGCAGACCGGACAACCCGTCTTGGAGGGTCACTCCACCCCCTTCTACTTGATTGGACTCAATGCTTACCTCCACAGTCGACCAATGATGTCGATCCAGTCGAAGTTGTAGTGGTTCCATTAGGACATTTCTCACAACTCGTTTGGCCAACTTTATTTTGGAAAGTATTCTTCGGACATAGCTCACAGGGGTCAAGATTTGAGAGCAGATCAAATCCAGAGTTCGAGAAATGACCGGCCAAGCACTGAGCTATATTCATGGGAAAAAGTCAAAGAGTTAATCCTACCATACGCCGGACTCAAATACCAAATCGAATACCATTCTATTATTCTGTAGCTGAAGATTTGCGTAAAAAAGATTAAACTGAGTCAACATAGTGTATCCCCAACCACTTTCATCCTTTATCCGACTAAAACAGTTACTTCCCCACACATTAGTGACTGTAAAAAGGAAAAATATTTGCCGGCCTGGCTTCATGAACGATAGCCTTTGTAATGATGGCACCACTGGCTTGAAGTACACTTTCGATGTTTAAAGGAGAGGAAGGTGTGCAGCTTAGATTGATAGAGACAAAATTGTAGGTTGAGGCTCTGAGACCAAGCCCTTGGAGATAAACTTACCAGTGCACTTTTTAGATCCCTCCACCAGTGTCGAGCTGATTTCAGGGCATACTTCACATTCCAGTGAACCCTCTTGTGAGCTTATGTATCCAGTCGCACAATTCTTACAATTCTTTGTCGTAATGTTATAATACATTCCCTTGGGACACTTAACTGTAAATACATTCAAATAATTCACCTTGTAGGTTTTTTTTCCCCTGAAACTTTCATAATGGATAGGTGGATGGGTGGATGGAGGGATGGAGGGACGGAGGGACGGAGGGACGGAGGCAGGGAGGGAGAGGGGAGGGAGAGCGTGAACAAAGGAGGGAAGAAGGGATGGAAGAACGGAAGGAAAGAGGGAAGGACGGAAGGAAGGAAGGAAGAAAGGAAGGAAGGAAGGAAGGAAGGAAGAAAGGGAGGAAGAAGAAGGGAGGAAAGAAGGGAGGAAGGAAGGGAGGAGGGAAGGAAGGAAGGAAGGAAGGAAGGAAGAAAGGGAGGAAGGAACAAGGGAGGAAAGAAGGGAGGAAGGAAGGGAGGAGGGAAGGAGGGAGGGTACAAGGGAGAGATGCAGAGAAGGAGGAAGGGAAGGAGAGAGGGAAGGAGAGAGGGAAGGAAGAAGGGCGTGAAGAAAAGAAGGGAGGGAGGGAGGGATGGAGGGACGGACAGAAGGACTGATGGAAAGCCCGATGGATATAGAGCGTTTTCACTTACTTGGGCAGCTTCTAAGTAAATGTTTTGGAAAAAAGAAAGCGTTTACATAAGAAAAGAGTTCAACTCCCATAGGATTGGTTTGGATGGCTGACGTAATGTCATATGAAAACGCTCTATTGGTGGATAGAGAGTGATTGAATGGAATGATGGACGAATAAATTCCGCCAAAATAACACGAGACAAGCAAATAAATAAACAAAATAACACTGACCACAAATGTCTTCCGCAAACGCTCCATTTAAGCTTCCTTGTTTCACATAACTAATTTCACAAGAACCATCAGCCTCTGGATTTAAATAGTCTGCATTCGAAATAAAACAAACTATAAAAACGGGATTACAACATTACAACACAGTCAAGCTTGAAAGGTCGGCCCGTTGTTTTCAAGTTAGAATTCTCTTTTTACCTACCATCTGCAGTAAAAGATACTTACGATACAAGTATAGCAACTTTTGTGAGATCTGGCAACTACTAGCAAACTATTTACCATTAATATAAACACTTCCTTTAGAGTTTCATGTAGTAATTTACACAAACCACCCGAGTGGAAATCTTGTGCACAAACATGAAACAATATAATTTGACGAGGTGGGAACACAAGGCTGAACAGACAACAAGGACAGCATCAACTACAGCTGCAACTACATAAGGTTCGTTGCTGAAACGTTACTTACCAACACAATCAGGTATTTCGCTCCATTTTGGACTTGATCCTTTGTCGCAATGTATATAATAAACGTTCTTGAAGAGCTTTTTGTTCTCGTTACAGGAGAGTGTACAAAATGATGATCCACCAAAATTGCTGCAGGTCAAAGCACCATTTTGTGGTGGCGAAGGAGAAAGGTCGCATCCTAATTCTGGTAAAACCAGAGGAAACAAATACAAAATAATTTTCAAAGAGGCATCCGTGGTTGGTTATCAACATTGCCCCCTGTACGGGAAATTTATGCTTGTGGAATCCGGAATCCGAGAAATTTTTTCTTGTGAAATCCGGAATTGCAGCTCAAGGAATCCGGAATCCCGCTAACGATTGGAACCCGGAATCCAAGTTCGGCTAACAAGGAATCTGGATTCTTGTACCTGAATCCACAGCGTGGAATCCAGAATCCACGATTGTCTTGGATTACCTTGCATGGCGCGAGTCTGTATCTCTTACTGGTCCTCCGCGGCGAGCGTCTCTGATGTCGCTCAGTTATTAGTTGGCGGCACAAGAGACATTGAAGACCGGTTTTGAAAAATATTGGCGAGTTTTGAAAATATAAGCAACGAGAACGCTGAAGCCCTGGAGGCCATGAATAGCAACCGGAAGATTGATATCTCGCTCGATGGAACGCCTCTGTTTTACACAACGAATCTGAATGCCTTTGTTTTAACTCCCGCTGTACGAACTTGGCGAGTCAGAGCACTGAAAGAGATAAAATAACAACTTCCGGTTGCCATTATTGACATCCGGAACATCAACGTTCTCGTTGCTTAAGGTCCCTATTTCGTCTTAGGTTAACAGTGAGATGAATTGGTTGTGACAAATACTTTAATTTGGGATACAATTTTTAACTTTGCGAGCTAATATGTTTCAGCAAAGGAAAACAAAAAGAGAGGAACAAGAAGACGAAAGCAAGTCTAAGATTAGGCATTGGTTTTTTAATAGATTACAGAGTGTAGAGGTACATGTACAAGCTTAAAGCGAAGTTAACATAAAATTGTACTATGACTTTTAACTAGAAAATGCTCTACAAAATGAAATGAATCACACAAACTTACTCTTGACATTAACGGTGAATGAACACGTTTCTGTATTTTTCGCCTGATCGTAGGCAGTGTAACTCACAATAGTTGAGAAAAGGTGAAATACATCGCCTGGATTTTTCCTGGACGTCACCCTAATCACTCTGACGTTATCAGTAAACGTGGGGGGTGTCCAGTGTACAACTTTGAAGTTCTCTATAGTTGTTACGTAGATGTTTCTTGGGCAGGTAGAAAACGCTGGTTTCTCTTTGTCTGTTGCAGGTAAGAAAGGAAAAGGCATAAGTCAAAAAGAAATCTATAAATTGGAAGCGGCAGGATTAGCTCAGTCATTAGAGTGCTTGAGTGCAGAGTGGGAGGTCGTGGATTCTATTGCCGGGGTCGGACAAATGCTCAAAGGTACTCCTTTTGCACTTCAATCGGCTAGACCTTCCCGTGGCTCAGATGACCACTTAAAACAGCAGTTACGTCTCCAGTAGGAGACTTAAAAATAGTGTCCCCAGTTAGAACTTTCGTGCTAAATACATTGACACTCGTACAAATAAAGTACATTTTTTAAGCTCTGTCAATCCCTCCAGTTTGGAACTGAAAAAAAAGAATGAAACTAATATAAAGAAATAAGGCGATAGTCCAACCAATGGGACAAATCTCTTTGTGATTATATTAGGTGTTAAGTTCTGTATCAACTCATTGGTGTAAGGTCAGAAAGACGGAAAAGGCAGGTGCATTTGAGGCTGGGAAAGCAAAGGCCCACCACCATAAACATGGAGGGGTACGTTTTTAGGGTTGGCAAATTGCTCTTGGAAATTTTCAAAACTGGAAACGTTTCCCCAATTGTTTTCAATTTCCTCGATTAAAGGAAAAACGAATCATTGAACATGTTCTATTTAACGCTCTGTAGAAAATGACGCTATAATTCAGTCAGTGACACAGGGGGAGAAAATCCGCGGTCTTCCAACAAAGTTGAACCTTAGACGTTCTGTTTACAAGTTCATCCTCTCTACCCCTGGGCTCTTGAATTAGTAGCAACTAGGGCCATTATACTTTATGTAACAAAGATTCTCTATACTGCTTAGACTGAAACGTTTTTTTTTTTTTACTGAAACGATTGTCACTAAAAATTGACCATACTTTCAGTGCGATGTCATTTTACTCAAAAACACCACAATTCTCCAGGGAGGATTAAAGAAAAACAGCTCTCATTTATGGAAATTCTGGTAACCTTGACCTAGGGGTTTTCCATTTACCCACCCCTTCCATGCATTTTCTAAGGGGTAGGTTGAAATTCTGACTGTCGTACAGTGATGAATGACAACAAGGATATGGTCATTGGATACCTTGAACGATAACAGCGACCTTGCATTTTGCTCTCTTTCCATTTTGGTTTTTAGCAGTGTAGGTCAAAGTCGTTGAACCCGCTTGGAAGATTTTACTATTTCTGTATTGCAATGGTTTGACTGTTATCCTCTCCGCTGGCTGATTGGACAGTGGGCTCTCTAATAAGGCGGAGACATCGGAGGTGTTTGCGCCGGGAGAGAGAGTCACCACCACGTTATCTGGGCACGTGATCCAAGGATCCAGGAAGACTGTACGCGAAAGAAATGCGTTAACCTCACAATATACTTTCTAGCGTGGATTTCCACCGTTGCGTAGTCTTTACTTGCGTAAATAAAATAGAGGCAATGCATGTAAGGTCGCGCGTGCCTTCCATATATTTCGTCTATTTTCAATTACGCAGGTAAAAAAAAATACGCGACAGTGGAAACCACAGTAAAGTAATTGTCGCACAGTACTATTCTCATTACCAAGGTAAATTCATCCAAAAGGATCTTACTGATAAAAATGTGTGTTTATCAGCGCTTTCCCTTTTTTATATAGAAAAAGAAAAGACATGGAAAAAAAAAAACGAACCGCCCATGGTAAAATATGCTTCGAATGGGGAAGATTAACTTCTTGCAAAAGAAGTTATTTGGATAAAAGTATAATAGAAGTAACTTAATTGACGTCCAATATTGAAATGCCCCCCACCACCCCCACCTTTTTAAAATATATATATAGCTTTTGCTATGCTGTATGTACATGTATCTTCACCTGTATGTATGGCCATGCCAATAGAGCTAGTTGTAGTTGGTGGTAGAGGTGGTGGTTCTTAGAATTCCGTTTTAACAAAGTCTGTATCTAAAGGTAACCAGAGAGTCACCTATGTAAATGGGTAATTTTTGTTATGGCTTTTGTATTTATAGCCTGGTAGCAAAATAAGGATAGGGAATAGACTCATGAAGCAACAGTGGCAAACTAAGATTCCCCCAATATACATCGATTCTGGCTTTTGTTACCTTTCTGGCACGTTGGTCCCTCTTCTTCGTCCCATTGCCCGTTACTTTGGCACGTTGTCTGCGTTACCCCTGACAACTGATAGCCAGATGAACATGTGTAATGGCATGTCTCGTTGTAAATGTGTCCATCTGCCTTGCAAGTTTCTGGAACAACATCGCCATTAGAAGGGGGAGCCAGCCTCGGACAACTAATTCCTGGTTAAAGAAATCATAAAGCGAGACCTTTACAACGCTCTCATTAAAAGGTAAGTAACAAAAGAGCTGCAAAAACAATCTTCACTAATACTTTGGCTACTTAACAATGTCATCAACAGCAATAACTAGCGATCACTGACCAAAATCGAAAGACATTGTGATATCATTAATACAGGGTATCACCAAAAAAAGGGAGGGCAGCATACACGCCCTGGAGACGACGTTACGTTCGCTGAGCCATTTTGTAGAGCTGGGGAAAATAGCGGAAAACTTTGTACGCTTTGCTTGCGAAAAAGAAGTAGTCGAAATACAGCCTACAAACATAGCAAGAACAGAAAAAATACAACTCGACGGATGACAACTGCTATTTGAAGAATATCTGCTAAACCACACATTCCTTTATGTCTTTGTCGAGGAAAAGACAAATGATCATCGAGGTAAAAAGTATGAAATTTTTAGAATGAATAATAACCTAATTATTAGATTCGGCTTTCGTACAATATGAAGAATTATGCAGATCTCGAAGGGTGTTGGCCTTGGAGGATAACACTAGCCCCGATCTGCATAATTCTTCAAATCATACTCAGCCTCAACCAATAACTTTCTCAGGTTCTCGCGATCGAAACCGCAGTCGAGTCACCATGGAATCCGTAACCACCCAAAAAATTTCATAAATTGTTCAACACCAGCTCGTTAAGGCCACCTGTCGCCAGACCTGCATCATAGGCTTCTAAGTTGTATTTGTTGTGGAGGAAAGTTTCTTTTTTTTATGCTTCTAAAGCCAGCACAACACAGGTGCATTTTTGGACGTGATGGTACTAAACTGAAAACTAGAACATTGCCACTCTTTCATAATTCATTTATAAAGTTCAATAGCTCATTGTGACTTTAATTTGCTTAGTTCCGGGGTTACTTACTTCTGCAGTTGATTACGGAGCCATTCCAACTTCCGGTCGAAAGGCAACTCAGAGAGTTCAGGCGACTGGGTAGTTCATAACCAGGTTTACAACTGAATGTGCACACATCACCAAAAACGCTGCCTTCATCTTGCAAGCATGAGCTGGGAGAGACGCTGGTTCCTGGAACTTCAATCAGGGCTGGACAGGTCTTAGCTACAGTCAGATAACAATGACACTGTATTAGTTTCAGCCGTAAAGTTTATACAACAAATCAATCAATCAGTCAATTAATAGACTTTATTTTAAGAGGGGAGCACGTGACAGTAGTGAAACTGATTACCCTGTCACGGGACTTATCTCCTCGGTTTATGAAAAATATTATAAGCTAATGGAAGTCCCGATATTTAACCCGATTTAGCCAAATGTTTCCATTACGGAATAAGTCAAACATAATACTAATAAACAACATTTAAAATATAAAAAAGTGAAGCATGAAAAGTGATCTTGATTGATTGCTGGCAAATTTTATCTGATCAAGTTGAAATGAATATTGACATATATCGTTGTAGGAAGCTTTTTAGATTCTGGAACATTTCCTCAGTTCATTAATAAGTATGAAATAAGATATAAAACACATTTGCTAATGAACTCTTTATTTAGAAGAACAGATATTAAAAAGTGTGCTTCCCTGCATCACGCATGGAATCAGAACATGTGCGTCATTCTTTAGTTAGTTACTAACCAAGGGTAACTCCCATCTATACCTCCATGTACCTTCTGCATTCCATGGCTTTAGGACTGTAACTAAGGCCCGTTTCAAACGTCATGCTACCGCCGTGCCGAACTCAGTTCATAAATTATAAATACATTAGAATACATTTAAAAGTTTGCTAAACCGTTTCTATATTTTTGTGTTTTGTTTTCGGCGACAGCCGTTCTATTCGACTGAATTAAATTCGACGTCTGAAACCAAGTCGTGCTAGTGTCGTGCTACAGTCGAGCCAGCTTGGCACGGCTGTAGCACGACGTTTGAAACGAGCTTAAGTTAAGACTTTCTCATTTCGTGTGTTCGTGAGTAAATAAGGTTTTTGAGAATGGGACATCATGTCTCCTGACTTGATGTCCCTCGGAAAATACTTATCTTTTAATGGACACTTTAAGTAATTTACGAAGGAAACTTGACTTTTAAGGCTAGTGTTTGTTGACAAAGTCTTGCGTTTTTAGGTATTCATTAATTAAAGGTAGGAAGTTTTGTCCCATCTATTTATCTTGTTTCCACGTTTATGAATATGGGAGTCGTCCTTTGTTTACCATTACCGAAGCTTGTATCTTTGAGTTTTACCTTTAAAAGGTCCAAACAACTTTAACGTAACTGTGCAAAAGTGTGTTTCTTTTACTGAACTCTACTTAGTTAGTTTTCCTTAGTAGTTTCCTGCTCCAGAACTGAAGAAAAGCTTTTCAAAGAAATTTTAGGTTACGAATTAATCGTATGTTAATTAGAACGTAATTGTATCCTACGCATTATTATTAAACCGTATAGACAACCAAACAAATAAATAGAGAGTTGTTGAAAAGTAAGCTTTTAGAAGAAGGAGTAAGCAATTATAGAAAAAGAGGAAGAAAGAGAACTACCAAGAAGAAGGTTAACTTGAGGAAGGACTTTGCTAAGGAAGTTGAAGAATTGTGAAGTGAAAGAGTAAGTCACTCAGAAATAAAGTATATTAACATAGTACTTATTTGGTTGTGAGAGTCACGGCCGCGCCTCTGGAATAACCCCCGTATTAACCCTGTGGCAAAGACAATCTTGCCAAAACAAAGTGAAGCTTTTGCTCCCGTTTTGCTTAAGGAGCTTCATCCGCTGATAGTCTCATGGTATTTGTTTGGAAAGCAGAATTGATAACAGCGTTCCTACCGCTAAATATAAAACGCCCTCACTTTCACAATCGGATTTAGAAAGGGTGTATTTGGTGGCTGGTTAACCCCTATTTTAGACCGCAGAAAGGCTGTAAATCATTCAGTGAGTAAACATCGCATTTATTTTGCTGTGCTTTCCGGCTTCATCTTGGACAAAGTATATAACTTCATGCCAAGCACTCTTTCAAATAGTGGAGAATACATGGCAAATCGGGAAATAATTAAGTTGGTTATAAACTCCCAATTTTCCTCTTTCTTTTAAGGGATCTTTCTCTCGATAAGCGTCACTGGAAAGCAAATTGCGATATTCCTTAGATAGAGAACATTTCAGTGGATAACACTATACACTTTCGAACAAGACCTAAAAAACTTGGAAGTCAAATAGTCAAGGAGTATCTTTTTATGAAGATGAACCGCCATGTTGGATTATGCGGACGTTTCTGGGCACAGTGAAGTTCTAAAAATAGACGGAACGACCAACGAGCAATGGAAGGTCCAGTGTGATGGGATCTTGCCAACACACAGAAAAAAGGTATTTTTTACCCCAGTACCTTTGCAGTTGTAGGCATCAGGAGTTGAGTCACTGTAGTACATCGTGGTATATCCGATCTTGCAAATACACTTATACGAGGGAACAAGGTTTACACAAATAGTGCTCTCTGAGTCACACATGGCTGAACCATCCTTGCATTCATCAATATCTTCAAATAGAAAAAAAAAATTTAATTTACTTTAAACCTGCAAATTCATATTCCACCATGGATTGAATGTCATAAATTGTACCTTAGCAACCAAAAATCACTAAATTTCACCAATACGTATCTATTGATTGGCAAAAATTAATCTTTTCATACAAAGGGCGGGCCACACGGTTAACCAACATCTCGTTTTAATGAACACTTTCTCTTAAAACACATTCAAGAAATAAAACAAAGTATGATTCAAAAACATAAACACGATAAAATGTGTATGGTTGTGAATAAAATAACTAAAATTGAATAGATAAGAAAGTCGAAGAAAAACTAACAAAGCTCGAAAGCTGTAATTTAACAGAACAATAGCTCTCGTCTCATACTGAGATTCAAACTTTAGAACAGATTATGACGAGGGTGCGAGATTTATGTTCACCTTCACAAGTTAAACCGTTAGCGTTCAGCTTAAATCCACTATTACACGAACAAGTGTAGCTTCCATCAGCATTTGAACAACTGTGTTCGCATCCTCCATTGGCCAGTGCGCACTCATCTGTGTCTGTTAAAATTAAAAGGAAAAAAAATCAGTTTTCTCTTCGCGTTTTAGTCAGCTGTAAGATTGGAAAAATAAAATCCTGCAGGTACCACGTTTCTGTGCTTTCTCTATTTATGAATTTATTTCAACGTAAGCCACCCTCTTCTAGTCTAGATTTTTTTTTAGGAAGATCGAAGGAACCTTTAATGGCAAGATAAACCAATTTTCTACAAAAAAAGCCTCCGACTTACAAACAAACAGTGCTTTAATTTGTTTAGAGCTTCCAATTTTCTCACTATTAAACATCGCAGTAGAAGTTGAAACAAACAAACGAACAAGAGACATTTGGCATGAGGAATCGTAGTCAATCTTGTTTTCTTCCGTCAAACTTGTTTTTCGAGTGCAAGCATCCGTTTAATGGTAAACCGATGGTCATAACTGAGCCCGCTGTAACAAGTACACGGCTATTAAGCCCGGGTTCGAGACTGTTTCCGAGCAAAATGCAGAGAATTTTCAACAAAGAACTCACTCGATTCATGCAAAACCTTTCTCGGATAAGCCAAAATGGAGCTAGCGGAAGAAACGGTCCGCTGGCAGGGTGGAAATACAGCAACTAGAACTGAAGAAGTAAACAAAGCGCGACCCAAAAATTGAAAATGAATTATTAAAAACTGTCATTTTGTTACCAATGCAATTCTTATCCGAAGAATCCACTTCATAACCAGCGGGGCAGGTACAGACATAGCTTGAACCCCATTTCTTGCAGTAATGACTACAGCCACCGTTATTGACCAGGCATTTGTTAATATCTGTCCAAGACAAATGGAGTGCGCAGGATAAGTTAGCGACGTTTTGTTTAAAGACACGTAATTTTTAACTCTATAGTACATAATAAATATGTTATTTATAATGTAATCAAACTTTTTAATAATAATAATAATAATAATAATAATAATAATAATAATAATAATAACAAGAACAATTATAGTAACAATAAAGAACGTTGGTACTGCAAACACAGTAAGAGTTCTAAGTTAAGTGATATAAAGTCAATTTCCACTGATCCTCTGATGTTTGGTGACCATGAATGAGCCTTTTCTTTCAAGTCGACAAAGTCCATCCTGACGGCATTATGCTTTCCAGACTGTTCTCAAGGTCTTGTATGGAAGTTCGTCCCTTTGTCTTCTTCATCCCTTTCATCTGCATATCGCAATTACCCATCACTCATGTTATGCCACTTGGGGTACCCCAAGTCCCCTGCGCCAAACTGTTCTCTAAAATCTCTGCAGGTAGCAGTTGGTTCCTCCATGCAGCCACGTGAGTAGATCATTTCAACTTTTTAATTTTTAAAGTTGTGCTACTTAGGTGGCAAAGACCATATCATGTGGGTGGGATGTCGTGTAATTCTGCGGGATACCACTTCCGTCTGCATCTGCAAGAGTTGAACCAGTGCCACTTAATTCCCCTGGCTACGGATCGAGTCAATTCGGTTCAATATGGACAAACGCACATTATGCGCGTCAGGGCCGATGGAACGTATTCAGGAAGGATAGAACTTCTAAAAGATGCCTTAATTTGTAAACTCTGACCAATCCTGTCAGAGATATACACAAAAAACCTCTAAAATGACTAAAATGTAGGGACAAAATACACTGCCAATTTCGGTGATCACCTTTTATTCTTCCCAAAAAATATTTTCCCCCATCCTAGAAGGTTAACCAATCACAATTCCATGGTAAAGAAAGACGATAAAATGGGCAACAAATCTAGAAATAGGAAAGGAAAGGAAAGATAGAGACCAAGAAAGAAGGATCGAAATAGATTCGCAAAAAAGTCCAAATTTTGCTTTATGCACAAGCGCCATAAACAAAAGTGAAGCTTAATTACATCCATAGGCAATAAGAGTTGCAATCTGATCTTTAGCTATTTCAATGATAACTGGCGGAAAACGGTTCCAGAAAGGAGGGATTGGTAAATATGCGGTTTTTTTCTCAAAGATGGTTAATCAAACTCCTCGTTTTGTTGAAGTCTATTAGCTTACAGTGGCTTGCTTATTTCACTGGTTTATAAGATGAAACAACTCATAAAGCTCTTTCATTCTTACCAAAGGCTAAACTTAATTAACTCCCAAAGGTACAGATAGCGATCATGTCCACAGAAATACAAAAAATCCTCAAGCATGAAATATTAGATTCCATGAGACTTATGTCATCTTTGCCTTGATCATTCATTCTTGGAATTAGGTGAACTCATTTACTATCTACCGAGAAGGTAGAACTTTTGGATTGTTTCTAAATAATTCGATAACCGACTACGTACCCTATAACTCGCCAATGCACCGGGCACGAGAGATGCTCCGCGTTATGTTCTTGATATCGAGTAAGAAGAGTACTTTTTCGTTGGTGATCCCCTTCTTTCATCTTTGCCACTGAACTTTTTCACCGCCAGAACTTTACTCGATCCAACTCGAGAACAATTACGTACTATAATGTATAGAGATGACGAAAATAAACAACCAGAGCATCGCTGAAAAAAAGGCATGATTTTTTCAGCTGCTCGGAACTAGCCAAGGATAAAAAATCAAAGGCGTTAAAAATCTCCTCAAGTATAGATTTTTAACTATACCAGAGAAATATTTACGAAGTTCAACTTACTAAGTGCGAAACTTTCACAGCCTTAAATAAACTGTTGATCTGAAAGAAAATGGTTTGTTTGTAGAACTGGGCAGCTAAACAAAGTGGAGTTATTCCTGATTAAATAGCCCTAACATCAGAAAGACAAAAACGTAAGGGTTAGTTAATACCTTCTATTAAAAAAATAAAATAGAAAAAATAAAAAAGCTTCTTCAATGTGATTATTACGTTTGCAATACATTGAAAATATAAGGTTTAAAAGATAATTACGATTTATTTGAAATTAAACACAGAATTTTTTACTTTTCACGGAGGTTATTTGCTGAACACCAAACGTTACGTTTCTGGTGTCGGATTTTCAGTAGTAGGTCTAGATCGCAAAAAAAACCCCGGCTTTTATCGATTTCAAAGTTTTTTGTTTATTGCTGTCATGGTGATATCGATTTTACCAACAATTATATTTTGAGAAGCTTCAATCCAAAATCAGTCAGTGGAGAAAATTTTGTTACGGCCATTAAACACGTTTAAGTTTTGGTATGAATGGGGCTTTAGTCACATTATTCATTGGGTACATTACTTATTTCAGGCAGATAAATCAATTTTATATGAGAATGATGATTATGTCAGTGTCACAGGCGACTCGGGAAAAAAGTCCGAGTTCCCGAAACAGAATCAAACCTGCAACTTTCCAGCTAATTGTCCAGATGCTCCACCACTGAGGTACTGGAGGATCATGGAAGCCAACACCATTAACCCCTTAAACTCTAAGATCAAAATTTGAATTCTCAGTTGTTTCCCCTCTTCATTTCCTACAGAAGTAATGGGGAGAAGTTGATAAAATATCAGTCAATTCATCTTGTGTGATCATGTCCGTAATTCTCATGACCACTCTGTTTTACAAAGCATTGATATTACAAGGAGAAATTTGATGTTGATCACTCTTGGGGCTTAAAGGGTTAAACAGGCCAGTTCCGATATATTTAAATTCATACTTGGCTCCGAGGCTTGGGGGAACAAAACAAAAGAAATGTATTATTCATTGCTAAGTCTCAAGATGATTTCTTTTGTTTTATTCCCACAAGCCTCGCAGCCAAGTATGAATTTTATCATATCAAAACTGGTCTTTTACAGTGGAACCTCGATATAACGAAGGGCCAAGGAAGTGGCAAAATTTGTTCGCTAAACCGAGGTTTCGTTATACAGTGGAACCTCGATATAACGAACCTCTATATAACCAAGTCCTCGGTATAACGAACGATTTTCCTTACCCCAGTAATAGCAAAATGTATGAAAAAGAACCTGGATATATAACGGCAAAACCTCGGAATAGCGAACAAATTTTGCCAGTCCCTTAGCCCTTCGTTATATCGAGGTTCTACTGTATGTTCATGTGTCAAACATCTAAGAGGAGGAAGGGGATGGCTAGGTGGCATATGCGCAACGGCAACATGTGATGGTGGATTTTATGCCCAAAGAAAATATGGGAATGATGTTTATTCAGGCAGTGACACAGGCGACAAAAAGTATATCTCAGTTCTCTCAACATTTATATGCCTTAATTTGCGGAAAAAGAGTGTTCTGCACTGATAACCACTTCTACTACCAATTATTGAGGGGGGCGTTGAGGTCTATAGAAAACCGAAAAACCGTGATAGATTTCAATCAGAACCGAAAACCGAATACAAAACCATCATATATAACCGAAGATTTATACAGCTCAATTTTCAAAACCCTAGTCTAGATGCCAAACGTTATAGTGATGTCTGGAACATAGGGACCAAACGGTAAGTTTGAAGAATAGTTCCCCAAAAA